TCAATTGTATGGAAAATTTCAAATAAAATAGTTCTGTTTATACATCTAAGTTTGCTCTAAAAAAATAATTTCATTTATAAAATTAAAAATATAAAATTTATATATATATTATAAAAAAATAATATATATTATATAAATTTTCAGTTAGAATTCATGAAAAATGTTAAATGTGCAACAGTGTGTCAAAAAAAATATCAAGGAGGAGATAGAGATTCAGAAAGAAAATTGGAATTTTTGAAAAAAGGAATGGCATTTAATTATCAGCATCATTGGATAGTTGGTAATATATTCATAATTTAATGAATTTAAAGATAAAATATTCATATTGTTGTTAACATTATAACTATATTATTTTTTTTTTATAGATAATATGCCAGTTACATGGTGTTATCAATTAGAAGATGAACGACAATATTGTAGCACTGGATTTCCAATGGGATGTTTTTCTCGAGAATCAAGATCTCAAGTGGATAGTTGCAGTATTAATGTAAATTTAAATCAATATTATTTATGAATTAAAATAAGAGAAAAAATAATTATTATAATAAATGTTTTATAGAAGATTTAAAAAATATTTATTATATTTTAAATTTTAAACAAAATATATATTAAGTAAAATTAATTAATTTCTTCTTTATTAGGCCGCATATATCAAAGCAAAAACTTATTACCTATTTAATCATGTAGACCTTACAATTACGTATCATAGTGGTGTTAAAGAAGAATGGGGATCTGCATTTAAAGAAAATGGTGGACGCATAATATGTAAGAATTAAACTTTATATCTGTCCTTTATTTATACTTTAATTTGCATTTGCTGAATTTTACTTATTAATAATAAATTATGTTTATTTATTTTAATAGCTGCTAAAGTGGTTCCTCGTAGTATTAAACATGGTAATATTCCTGACTGTGAAAACAAAGCACCATTAGACATACCACATGATCCACTTTCTGTTGGTCAACAATTACTTGTTACTTATACATACTCTGTAACATATATAGTAAGCATTAATATTAACAAATTGAAAATATTTTTTTTTTGATAATTTTATTAAGCAAAAATTATGATTATATTTTTAATTTTAGGAAAATAGTACAATCAAATGGTCATCTAGGTGGGATTATATTTTAGAATCTATGCCGCATACAAATATTCAGTGGTTCAGTATTCTTAATTCATTAATAATCGTTTTATTTCTTTCTGGAATGGTGGCCATGATATTGCTCCGAACATTGCACAAAGATATTGCAAGATACAATCAGGTACAATAAAGAAATGTACTAATCATTTAATCATATTTTTAAAATTTTTTATTTTAATCAATAAATTTATATTTCATTGCAACTTTTAAAATTATTAACATAATTATATTATTGTTTAATTAATGAGGACATATAATCCAATATTTTGTTTTGTATCATAAAACTATAATGTCTGTGTTGCAATAACGCAGGCTTCTTTCCAGATAGAATCAGGAGAAGATGCACATGAAGAATTTGGTTGGAAATTAGTTCATGGTGATGTATTTAGACCTCCTCGTAAAGGAATGTTACTCTCAGTTTTACTTGGATCTGGAGTTCAGGTGTTTTATATGACACTTGTAACACTTGGTAAGTTTATATATGTATATATATATATATATATTTATTAATATATTTAATATTTTATATTCAAAATATAAAAATTAAAAAATTTTTTTATATTATTAATAGCATTTGCTTGTTTGGGATTTTTATCTCCTGCAAATAGAGGAGCTTTAATGACCTGTGCCATGGTTTTATATGTTTGTCTTGGAGCTACTGCTGGTTATGTATCTGCTAGAATATATAAAAGTTTCGGCGGTGAAAAATGGAAATCAAATGTAGTATTGACATCTATGCTGAGTCCTGGGTAACACTTTACTTTTACTTTTTTTTTTTTTTTTAATAAAAATTGGTACATAATAAATGCTAGTTCATGAAATTAATATATTAATAAAACTATAAAATTATTATTAAAATTAATCATAGCTTGTATTGTTGGTATTGTTGAATATAAGAAAAATCTCAAGATGATCAGTCTTTTTTGAAGATATTTAATAAGATTCTACATTCTTTTTTTTTATATATATAAATCTTTTAAAACTGAATATGAAACTCAATTTTGAAGAAATTTTTTTAAAAATATAGAAACTAACAATTATTACTAAAAATCTTCTTGCATTTAACACTATAATTGTAAATATAAAAAATTTAGTAAAAAAATTTTATTCTTGAAAATATAAAAGTTTCATATGTCACCTCTTCTTGGATTATATTTTCCTAATATAAAATAGAAATTTTTGATCCAAAAAAATAAATAAAAATTCTTATTCAAATTTGCAATTTTGTATTAAAATTAAATTAATTAGTGACATATGAAAATTTTTTTTTGATTTTGAAATATCGTAATATAAAAAATCCAAAAATAAAATATGTATGAAATATATACATAATAAAAAAATATATATACAAAATACACATATATATCATATATTAAAATACAAAAATATATATAGAATTTGATACAATCTAATATATAAATATAAATTAGATAACGCTATTTCGTTACTATGAACTTCTAACTATGAACTTCGACTTATTAATAGAAATGTAAAATATTTAAGGAGATATTTATGATAAAAATTATATGAGGATAAAAAAAGATATATGGTACTAATTTCGATTGCAATTCTTAATTATTATATCGTAAATATTGAAAATTAATTAATTACTACTTTTCTATTAAGAAACTAGAAAATTCGATAATTTTCTTATTTAAATATTAATAAAGAGTTCTTTTCAGTAATTATTTATTAATAATTAATGCATTATATCTAAAATAATACAATATGTTTTTTACTTATATCAAATTATGACATTTATTTTTAAATATGAATATATTTTAAACTATTTTTTTTTACATTTATATATAATTTTTATTTATAATTTTGTTAAATAAATTAATTATTTATTACAGATTGGGAATACTCTGTATGGTAATTATTAATAAATAATTAATTTTTTGAAATTTATACAAAAAAATTGTTTATGATTTTAGCTTTAAAAGAATTTACAAAAATTTTTTAATAGAAAACTAATAATTAATTAATTTTCAATGTTGTACATTTTCGAGATAATGAAAATATCAGGAATCAAAGTTAATAGCATGTTTTCTTTTCAGTCAATATTAACTTGACTGTGAATGTAATAATTCCTTGCACGTTTTGTGTTTTGAATATATAGAAAATAAAATGTTGGAACATGACTGTAAATTGGAAATAATTTCAAGCAATATTTTCCTTTGCAAAAACTTATAGCTTTATTATTACAAGTTATTGACAAAAAACACTAGCATGTAATCACAGAGCATGTAATCTAGTCTAATTGCGACAATAGCGTTGGTTTCATATCGCCTATCGATCATAGATTCAAACAATATATCTCGAAAAAAGTATGTTGAATATTATATTTATTTATTTATTCATTTATAATTACATAGCATGTAGCTAATTCGTCGGTTCGATTAGGTTAGTCTGTGATTATTTTTTGTTAATAACTCATTAACAAAAATTAATGAAAGTTTTTGCAAAGAAAAATGTTGCTTATCCAGAATTTCTAGTTTATGAATGTTCCAATATTTTTAAGACACTGTGTATATATATATATATATATATATATATACACAC